CCCCCCCCCCCCTCTCTCTCTCTCTCTCTCTCTCTATATATATATATATATGTATGTATGTGTATGTGTGTGTATATATATCATAACTTTAATATGTAAGATCATTAATTTAATTTAAATTTTTCATATTCTAGTTTATCCCTTTTAAGTTATCCGGTATGAACAAAATGATAAGTAATGGTAGTTGTTTTTTGTTCATTAAGGGTGCGTTTGGTACGCAGACATGACAGAACAGAACAGAACAGGACATGACAGGACATGACAGAACATGATAGAACAGGACAAAATAAGACAGTTGTTCAGCGTTTGGTAAGACATGATCGGACTGGACAGAACTGATTAAAATGACCAATTTACCCTCAGTTAGTTGTTTAGTGTTTTTTTTCACTAAAAAATCAATATAAATGTTAACAAATACGGTGTGCAAAGTATAACTTACATCAAACCATTACTACTTGCAAAAAATATATTTGCAAAAACACATGATTTCATAATCAACTAATGATATATGAAAAAGGTAAACACAATATAAGCATCAAGAATCCATTGTCGAAACAAATCTATATGCATTTCATACTAAGAAAAAAAAACTACTACCAACAAGCGCATAATCAATTAAAATGGATTAAATATCAAATAGTAAATAAAATATAAGCATCAAAAAAACAATTTGGCTAGTGATCTCATATAGTATCATCACATTTACAAAACTTGGATTCCAGAAAAAAACAAAAGAACTCACCTATCATCTGCACAGTCACTCCTGTAAGATCAAAATCGAATATTTACTACTCTGATCAAGGAAAAACATACAAAACTCATCGAAAACAACAAATTGCATGTGTGAACTTTATACAATACGTTTGACGGTGATAAAATCAAGAAAACAATTTATGTAATATATTAAATTATAATATAATAATTTTTTTTATAACAAAATATATCATTTGAAGTTTTCGTCAAAACAATTAAAATGACACCAAATAAAAAGTTTATGTGGTTTTCTATTTTTATTTTTATCTCTTTTCTACATTATTTTTTATTATTACTATATAATAAATTACATAAATTAATAAAAATATAGAAACCGTATAAAAATAATATTTTGAGGACAGTAAAATGAAATTTAAAAAACATAAAATACAATAAATAAAATTTAAAAAATGAATGAAATGTAAAAGAGAGACATATTTAATGTTTTATAAGAGAATTAAGTTTTATTTTGAGATTATATTGGTAAAATATAAGTCTGTTTCACCTTGTTCCACCCTGTTTCGTGGGGTAGGGGTGGAACAAGCCTGTTCCACTTTGTTCCACATAAAATTCATGCCAAACATGGGACAGGGATCTCTGTCATGTTCTGTCCTGTCCTTGTCCCTGTCCAGTGTACCAAACGCACCCTAAACATCAACAAGCCTATTTATTCCCATGATGAAGGCTTAATTGTTTGAAAAAGTGGATGTTCCACAAAAAAGAGCCGCATAGCTCAATGTCATCATACTTACATGCGTTATTAACCACTCTGATTATACATTGGGTACTAATATTTGTGGTTTTATGTATTTCAACTAAAAGTGTTTATGTACGTTCATTTAGCGTCTTAATGAACAAACCCGACAAACAAATTTTCTTAACGAACGAACATGAACGTAAAAAAAAATCTGTTTATTTATTTGTTTGGTTTAATTAAATGAACGAACACGAATAAACCTTCGTTCTTGTTCATTTACTAGCCTAGTCGTTATTATTCTAATTTCGTATTAGTTCTCCCACTTTTAAATTCCCTTACATGGTCATCCATACTTCTAACCTTCATGAATGTGAGTCGTTAAGTGTCTGCAAATCACACGAGGGGCATTTTAGTCATTTTGCAACATTTTTAAATCTTTTAATATATGTGTATATTAATAAATTTTACGAATGTTGTAAAATGACTAAAATGTCTGATACGTAACTAGCACGTGATGACAATTACCGAAAGAATTTAAATCAGAGACAATCCGTACAAATAAACTGAAACTTTAAGGGGACCTGTATGGAGTCAGACTATTAATGACATTAGATGGATTATTATAAAGTTTAGGGACGATTTTATAATTATTTTTTATTATAATATTTATAATATAAAATTATTGGAATAAATAAAATACCTCGAAAGTCGTTATAACGAAGTTTAAAATGAAATATAAAAATTGGTACTGATTTTAAAATTTTAAAAAATAGATGGAAAATTTATTAAATTTTTTATTTTTATCGGTTGGTTTTTATTTCTTAACCACTTTTTTACAAGGTTTAGTAAAATAGTCATAACTCTGCAATTTTTTAATTTTTCTTTGAGGACCTAGATGAAAAATGTAAAAAAAACGCAAACATGGGTAAAAACTGTAAATCTTTTTGCGGACCTGGGAAAAAGTGTAATTTTTTAACATGGTTCTCAATTACAGACCTATGACTATTTTGGTAAACTAGAAGATAAAACCGACCATAAAAAACGACTATTTTAATATATTATCTAAAATAAATTCATAGTAAATACAAAATTAACTTAATTGTTTATAATTTTAGTTACACTATTTTCTAAACTAGAATAATTATTTGAAATTATATAATGTTTATATTAATAACTAATATAATATTATTTTAAATAAGTTTTTAATTTCAATAATTGCGTTGTATGGGTATTTTAATATGAAGGGAATCTCAAAACACTACGTAAGTGTACAAAAGAGGCTGAAAACGAAATTAAATAGAAAATAGAGGAAATTAAATTACTATTTCAGTTCTTATAATTTATTATTTATAAATATGTCATTTATATAAATCAGTTATTAAGATATTTATATAAATAATAAAAATTTATTTATTATGATTTGAATATCTAAAAAAATTATTAAAGTTTATTAATTATAATCAATATTTTATATTACGAAACAATCGATTTATTTATGGAACGAAATATTCAGTAGAGTAGACTGACGAGTGATATTGGTTTGTATCGTTTCTATGAATGACATGGATGACTGAGTTATTTATGAAATTAGATATTCATTAAAGAGAGATTCAGAAGAAGAAGAAAAGAACCTTTAAAAAATGAAAAACCAAAAAGCACACTTCATCAAAAAGTACCACAAATGTGGTGTCTGATTGGTTTGAGCTTGACTTCAAAGATCAAAAATATCTGGAGGTCCCAGGTCCAAATCCAAGGAGGAATAAAAATTCTCTTGTGGCCATGAAGGTTCAAATGCAATAATTCCGGGCTATTTGCAAAACAGGTGGTCTTCCAGGGATTAGTTGGCTCGCATAACGAGTTGAATATCCAAGTTAATAAAAAACTTAAGTCTTATATAATTATTATTTTAATCAAACAAATTATATGAAAAAAAAACCAATATTTTTTATTCTATTTCTTTTGATTATCATATTAATATATACTTTTCCATTTGTTCATTATGATTTCAAAGTGTTGACCGTTGATCATGAGAATATTCTTACTAATATTAATAATATATTTAATTGATGTTTTTAATTATCTTAAAATTCAATTTAATAACTTATCATTGTATATACCTTTTTAGCACACATTTAAATACAGCGTAAGTAATCAATCATATCAATAGAGTTGTTTTCTTTATAAAACTGATAACCAACCGATGACTCCTTCATTATGTTAAAACCATACAAAACTGTAAAATTGAGAGGGAAAGGGAACAGAGCAAAACGTAAATCCCTCAGAGATTGAGGATTCAAAATTTCAATCCTGATATCAAACCATATCATGTTGTATTAGAGCATCGATATTGGAAGTTCTTTTTGAGGTTCCTGTTAGGATTTTTATAAGAACTTTCATTGTGGGACATAAATTATTGTCTAATCACAAGTTTTTATTAGAACTTAAATAATATATAT